GGAATGACATGTACGAACTTTGTTGCTTCATCGACCATCACAAGTCCGATTGTCAATGCGTCCTTGCTGTCCTTTGTGTTCTGTTCATCTCGAGTTCCAGTGAACTTGAAATCCATTGAAACTAACGATGCTTCAGTCTTCTTCTCAGATACACCGAAATTGTCTTCTCTTGATCTTGTCGCTTGACAGCTTTCACACCAATCTGCTTTTGGTAGATGCGTCAGTTCATGCTTCTTCCTCTCTTCCTCAGTTGGCATTTCTGGTCTCTTTTCTCCTTTTGGTTCTCTTGTGAATTCTAGTTCTAGTCCTTTGGAGATCTCAACCAATTCCTTCATCTTGTTTGCTGAAATAGCTTGCTTCAACCTTTGCCATATCTGAGTCTTGCTTCCAGTCTTTCCTATCTTCAGGAATTCACATGCTGTTCTCATCTCTTTGAGTGAACTTTCTGGGCTGAGTTCAACTCCTGCCACGATCATAGCTTCTTCCATCTTTTCTCCTAGCTTTGGCAGTTGCTCTTCAATTTTCTTCCACTCTTTCATCTCTTCTTCTGCAGGCGGTTCACTTGGAAACAGGTTTTCCATTGCTTCTGCTGCTTCCTTTTCCACTTGCTCTATATTCTTCTTTGTGTCCTTTACTTCTTTGTGAACCTCCATCTCCACGTCTGCTGCTTCCACTTCTTTCTCTTGCTCTTTCTTCTTCTTCTTTGAAGATGTTCTTTCATAGTCACCATACTCTTCAATTCCCAGAGACTTTCTCTCCAAGATCGTGATGATCACCGAGTTCTCTTCAACTGCGTCTATCGCAATCTCTTCTGCACTCCACAAACTCCAGTTCGCTCCATACGATGCTGTCACCATCGTACCTCGATACCAAAGTAGTTCTGAACTTGAATGCTTTCACATCATCATACGTGGGGTCATAGGTCACATACTTGTCATAATCGATCCTTGCTGGCTTCCCATCTGACATGAAAAACCATCCTTGATGATACTTCATCTTCTCGAAATCATCTTCCATCTGCTTGATCAGCGTCAGCTTCCTCACTTGTGGTTCATCACTTTCAACCTTCACTTGTGCTCTGTAGATCTTGAGGTCCGTCACTGTTGAATTTCTTGCAAACCTCACTGGCACTTTTGCTGAACCTTTCTTCAGGTAAGCATTGAACTGGTCTAGAGGATCAAGTCCCCATCCGACTTTCCACAACTTGCCTACTGCAAATAGTGGTTGTGTTACATCTCCGAACACAGCTGAATCTCTTACCTTTATCACTCTTCCATCTGTTCTCTGGAATTCAAACGTGATATTCGCTCTTGTTTCAGTGGTCCTTATTCTGTTGCCTTGAGCATCTTGAATGACCATTCTCAAAGCTGGGAACTCAACTGTTCCTAAGTCTTCACTGTAGTAGCATAGCGGAAGTACATGACAATCCGCTCCACTGTCTAACACGACTTCAAGGAGTTCTGCATAGCTTGAACTGATTGCTCTTACTCGATGCACTTCTGGTTCTTCATCTTGAACGCTTCCGAAAGGTCTCTCTCTTTCTCTTGCATGCTCGGCATTCTTCTTGTCCACTTGCAGATCTTCATACCACTTGTGAAGTTCATCCTTCTCATAATCTTCTTCATCACTCTCATCGACCATGCTTGACATGAAGATAACTGTGTGAACCTTCACTGCTCTTGCTGCATAGTCCATCACCATCTCTTCGAACATTCCTACAAGATCGACGTACTCTTCTTCATCGTCGAACACTTCTTCAATCACTGGCATAGGCGTTGTCACCAACCTACGCACTTGCTCATTTCCTTTTGCTCCTTGTGGCGGCTTTGCCTGTGACTGTATAGAAGAACTTGGTTGCTCTTCATACCATTCTTCCTCGCCTGTCTCTTGGACGTTGCGAACTTTTCCTTTTCCTTTCGGTGGCGACCAACACTCCGAAGAGTAATGTCCAGTCTTACCACAATTGAAAAACACAGGTCCGTTTTGTCCACCTTTTCCTTTTCCTTTGTCACTCTCGTAGCCTTTTCCTTCAGCCTGCCTGATGCTTTTTCCTCCTTTCTTTCCATATCCTCTTCCTTTTCCAAAACCTCTTCCTTTTCCTTTTGCTTTTCCTCTACCACCTTTTCCTTTTCCGTATCCTCTGCCCTTTCCTTTGTCCTTTCCTTTTCCATAAGGGCTTCCTTTTCCTCCTTTGTCACCTTTTCCTTTTCCATCTCCTTTACCTTTCCTCATGTGCAATCTATCGAGTTCCATCGGTATTGGTCCTTGATAAGTCTTGTTGCTTGAGTGCGACGTTGGGTCTGGAACACTCAATGATCCTAAGATATTCTCAGCTGACCATGTCTGATTGCTTCTTTCATATTGTAGCAGCTTTGCTCTTAACTCTTCATATGTGGTCTTGTCAGTGATATCAACCATCACATGCTGCTTGAGGTGCTGCGGTATTCCTTTCAGCAGTGTACCGATCTTCAAGTTATCGTCATACTTCTGGCCTGAGAGCTTTTCGTACTCTGCGGTGAGCTTCTCGTAGGTCAGGACGTAGTCCATCAACGATGCTCCTTTGCTCATGGCTGGGAATCCAACCAGTGCCTGAGCCATTGCTAGACTCCTTGAACGAGATGTCGGCTCTAATTCAGCCGTCAACTTTCTCCACACTTCAAATCCATTCATCCCGCTTACATTTCTCAGCACTTTCAGAGGTCTGTTTCTCAAGTAACTGCTTAACACTGAGTAAAGCTTTGTTCCTCTGTTCACTCTTCCTTGATCATTGTTGAAGAATCCATTTGTCACTTCCATTCCTATCGCAGCTGTTTGTTCTTCTGCTGACTTCAGGTGCTTCAGGAATTCTTGGTCCATGAACGCTAAGAAGTTCTTGAACGTAAATGACCAGTCACTCCATTGTGACACTTCTTCTTCAATCGTAGCTGGATTAAACGATTCCGGTGGCTTGAGGATCTTACCTCCAGTATCAAAACTTACTGAAGCTGGCTGGCCTCCCGAAGGGGCTGCCTGGCTCATTCGAGCCGGTGATGCTTGGGCTTTTGCCAATGCATCCAGTGCTGTTGTCAATTGCTGTTGCTGCACTGCTGTTCCTTGTGCAACTCTTGCCATCGCTTCTGTAGCTTGGCCTAGCGTATTCATCAGCTGTTCCAACCTTGCCTGCTGGGGGTTCGGCTGGTGCTGCGCTTGTTGAGCTTGTTGTTGCTCTTGCATCTTTTCAACACTTTGGCAGGTCCTTGTATATCTGGCCCAAGGTCTTCACTTCCACGTTTTCTCCGACTCTGCAAGGTGCTCTTGGCTTAGCCGTAACTCCTCGCTGTTCTCCGACAGGATGCTTTTGGTAAACAGTAACTTCCTGTTCAACACTTTTCACCTTTTCCAGCTCGTGGCTGGCTTCCCTGGATCTTTGCTTGATCAGCTGCTGGCCTTTGCCAACAGCTCCGCTACCATGAAAGTTTAAACCCTTAAACCAGTATCCTTCTCTTAACACGGCGCGAGCTTCGGAATCTTTTCTCACTACTCGCTCTGCTGTCAGGCTGTCTTGAGCCTACGCTTGACCTACGGAGACACGCAGTGAAACATGCGCTAAATCGGGCATGAGGGAAAATTGAACATTCTGTTACATTGCCTTACACACCGCTTCGAAGGTGAGCAGGTCGGGTTTCTTGTTTGCTTGGTTGCTGACGGCTCTCTCTCTCTCTCTCTCTCTCTCTCTCTCTCTCTCTCTCTCTCTCTCTCTCTCTCTCTCTCTCTCTCTCTCGCTCTCTCTCTTTCTTTCGCCAGGGCTATGGGCAAGAGGTTTGATCCCCTTGCCCGCGCGCTTGTGCGCCCCCGACTGTTGCAGAGGTGAGTATCGACAGTTTGCCACCAACGGCTCTCGCAAGTTTAAAAAGGAACTCTCATCGCTCAGCAACTGCAATCAGAAAAGCCGAAACGATCAGGGTACGATGCAGCGAGCAGCAAAGGGAACTACGATCAGGCCTGCACTTGAGTTGCTGATTCGGGGGTATTCCCCGTGCAAGAGGTTCACGTTTGATTTGCCGGGTCGGTTATGTGGATCGGGTCGCAACACATTAGGTGTAACATGAAGGGAAAGGGTAGAGCAATAGCCGGGGAAAGGCATCAAGGGGCGGGTATTCGACCCTGGGGACGTCTCCCCCGCAAATGCCAAAGTTATACTTCGGCGAAACTCCCTGCACGCTTCGACCCTTCACCTGGCTCTGTAAAGGATGCAAAACAGCATATAAGGACTCAGAAAGTACCATGCAGTATGCCACATACCACGAGAGGTGCTGGGTGCAATCGTGAAGCGTAACTTCCCTCCTCGACTGCGGTTTGGAAAGACAAATTAGGACAAATTAAGACCAAAGTATACAACATAGGACAACGTAAGTCATAATAGGGACAAAAAATTGAGGATCGTGCCTAAGCTTTTGTCCTTGGGTGCAGCATCACTTCTTTTACCTAGCCTGGCCAGGAAGGGAAGCAACACCATTTGAAGAACAAGCTGAAAGAACAAGTGCAGTCAGGGAGTACGCCAGGGCTGTGATGTCTGCTGTGCCAGAAAAGACGGGTCTTGTCTAGCAGTTCTCAAGAGGGATATAATATGTTGTCGCATGGGGCGTCCCCCGCAAAACAAAGCAGCGAGAGGTTTAGTGAAACTGTGTTTGGAGGCTTGTACGGTCACGGCGCTGAAATCAGGAAGGGCATACCTAAGAAGTGTCCACCATCTGGAATAAAAACCTCATGAAGAGCTTAGCCTCCGATTTTGCTTAGTGCTTAGTTACCCGGTCATACCAGTCTCCATACCAGGGTAGCAACACACAGCACACTCAAAACACGAAACAGCAGTGCAGAATGACAGTACTGCGAGCGCTGGTATGCCGCTAGGAAGTAGTGGGCCGAGCTTCGGTTCGCAACATGGGGCCTGGTCGAAGGAAGCATACATGAATAGGAGGGCCGCTAGGCTAAGTGAGCCAGGTAACCATGCCCCAGGTGCACTACGTAGGGGGTGCCCCCTGTATGCCCAGGCGCTTGCCGACTTGTTTGGACGCCAAGGTGGCTGCAGTGCATGGAAAACTCCTGGGCATGCATCCTGCGTCGCCTGTGCTCGCCAGTCTGGTAGTTCTCCTCTCCGTTCTGGGTCTAGGCGCTGGGCTTCTCGACCTGAAGGCTTGAGTCGGTGCATCGGACGGCGAGTCAGCATTGCCGCTTCCAAGGGGTGCCTCCCCGGTAGAGTGGTCTCGCGCTTCCGTGGTGCCGTTGACAGCTGCATTCTCCAGGAGGAAAATCGGCGAGCCCCATAGTACTGCTGTCCACGCAAACAAAAGGCCATGCGCCTCTGCCAGTTGAGCGGCGACTTCTTGCTCGAGAAAAGGCATGATCCTCTCGAGGATTTGCTGCGCTCGCAAGATTTGAGAGGGGGTGGAGTCCCCCTGTGTACTGTCATGTAAATGCCCTCGTGCTGGATCGGTTTGAGCGGGAGCACCAGGGGCTGCAGGTAGTTGCGAAGGATCTTGAAGTCGCCTAAAAACAGCTTGTTGTGGTAATTCTCGAGCTCCGCGGGCGATTCCACCCCGTTCCGGTACATTGTTGGTGGGGCTCATAGTGACGATGTAGTGGTCGAGGTAGGCCGCTGTTCGGTCAACTGTCACCAGCAGTGCTTCCAGGGCTTCTCGGATCAGAGCCAAGCCTCTCTCTTCGATGGCAAGGTCCAGGAAGGTTGCCTGGGTGCATGCGTTTTTCAAGCCAGCCAGGGCCTGGGCCCAGTTCGAATCCTGGGGTCCTTCCCCGGAGCTCCTTAGCTGCTGCTTCGTTTGGTCCACAATGTCCTGGATGCGGTAGGATGCGCGTCGTTGGTCTCGCAGCGGCATGGCTTCGTAGTTCTGGAGTAGTTGCCGGAGCAGCACTTGCACGTCCGTCAGGGGGTTGAGGTACATCCCCTGTGTAGTCTCTGGAAGGATGCCACCAAAAGGCACCGTCGTGAAGGGGTCGGTGGAGGAAGAAGCGCCTGGAGTTTCCGGAGATTCATCCAGGTCATCGTCCTTTTGTGAGGGCGCCCGGCTCGGCCTTCCTTGGCCTGTTTGCATTGCCACGAAGTTGTCGTCCTCACTCGGCCAGCTTGTTTCCGATTCTGAGCCGTTGGTCCTGGGCTGCGGGCGCCCCTGCCGTTGTAGTAGGGGAGGCGTTGGGCCTTGTGGTCGTGCAGGAGGTGGTGGTGGTTCACGACGTCCATGTTGTCCAGCACCTTGTTGGACTTGAGCAGGTCGATCATGTCGCACTTGGTTGGCATTCGTGGTGCTGTGGTGTTGTTGGTGTCGTAGAAGGCGGCCCGTGGGGTCACGTCGTTCTGGCGGAGGTCGAGAAGGTTCTTGTGGAGGTACACGCGAGGGCCCACCAAGTAGCCTTATACGTCGTCTTCAAAGCGTGGCCTCCCAAAGGCGATCTTGACCTTTCCATTCCAGCCAGAAGCTCTGTCCATTGCTTAGGGGGATCCACCCCTGCTGGTATTGGTGCGGCGCTTCATCGATGAGGACGAGCCAGTATAGCTTGGAGATTCTAGCGAAGCCCAATTCGATCCTGGTCGTAGCAATCCATGGTCCCATCGGCATCATCGTAAACCTTGTTCTTGGGGCCAGAGTCGGGCCTTTTTCCGCATGTCCACTGAGGGTGTTGAAGACGACTGCCGTGGGTTCGTGCCGAAGTCGATCCGGGTGACGAACTGCTTGTCGGTCTTGAGGGGTCCACACGACTCCTCGCCACGAACCATCAGAGGAGCTGCGCATTGACAACACGTTGGTGGGGTCGAGCGGCACGGCAGGTGGTAAGGTCGTAGGTGTGGCGCCGAGTAGCCATGAAATGTCCTGGTGTTTGCGCCGACACGCATGGCGCTCTGTAGGGAGTCCCCCCCCCTGGCTGCTTCTGTCACCGACCATCTCGGGGCATTCCCCGCCATTGTTGCGGCCGCAGCTTTGGCTTCCAGGTCGGAAATATTGGCCGGTATTGCCGTGCCGGCCGCGACAGACTGGCCAGGTGGTTCCGAGCTAGAGCTGGCCGATGCTCCATCATCACTTCGAAGTGGTGGTGGCTGGTAGTAGAGCTGTGCTCCCTGGGTCTGCGAGTTTGTCGGTTGACTGCGGTTGTGGTACGTGTCGATGTAGTCGGCCGTATCCTGATGCAAAGAGGCAGGTCTGTTGTCCACCATGATCACGGGGTGGCGCGTTGCTCCATCCCCACGTAGTTGAACGTGCGAGCTGTTCGAAAACTTCCTGAGAATTGGTTGCCTCCTCGCAGCTTTGGGCGGGAATTCCCGACGGTCTTGTGGCAACTGGAAGCTCACATGCGCGTGTGGTCGCGGAGGTCGTGGTTGGGAGCTCCCCGAAGCAGAGGTCGCCGAGGTTTCAGTCTCTGCGTGGTGGTTCTTGTGGAAATTCTCGGCACTACGAAGTGGTTGTCCAGGAGGTGGTGGAGGGGCACTGTCCCCCTGGCCTGGACCGTCTTGTGAGAAGGGCGAAGTCGAGGTAGAGGCTAGGGGTTGCTTGCTTGTCGTCGTTCATGGTCTTGCTCCGCTGCCGTGTGGGCTTTCGTCCCTTGAGTTTGCCGTGGGTCCACCCCCGGTGTCACATCCTTTGCAGTGTTGAGCTTGATCACCTTCCCATCGGCATCCCGGGTGTAGTCCTGTGCTTGCCTGAGTGCTGCCAGCATAGAATCATGTTCCGGTCTGTAGGTCGGTGGCTGCCATGGGGGTTTCTGGCCTCGCTGGATCCAAGGAAGTGCACGTCGCCAGGAAAGCCACGGGGGTTTGTCCCCCCCAACCTTGCTGTCGCCACAAAGCTTTCACATCACTTTTTTGGCCTTTGTTCTTGACTCGTTGGCTGCCGTGTCCTGCACGTCGTTTGGGAGGTCGGTCCTCCGAGAGTGGTGTCGGGCGTCCCCCGGGTCCGTGCTTGAGCTGGTGCTGTCGTCATCGCTGTCGGTGGTATCTTCAGGCTGGGCTTCGTCTTCCGCTGGTTGTTGGTGTAGGGCAGGTCCAGCGTTTTCCAGGGTGGCATTGTCGGTCCGCGTCTCCTGGTAGGTCTGCGTCTGCGCGTTGTCCTCGGCGTTGTTGTCGGCGTGCTCAGGGTGTTCCCTGGTCCGGGGCGGTAGCACCATGTTGTCGGGTGGTGGTAGGTCTTGTTCTGGAGTGGGCGGCGTCGGTGCATCCTCGAATCCACAACTTCTTCTGGTGCTTGTCGAGGAGCGGGAGTCGATGTAGTCCCAGGGGGTTTGCTGTCCACTGCTGTGGCGGTAGTATCGGCCCCTGGTTGGCGAAGTGGGTCGCGATGAAGTTTTCCGGGTCCATCGTCGGTTGTGCTTCTTGTTCTTCACTTCCATCTCGTCGGGACGTATGTTGTGGTTGGGAATTTTGCGGTTCATCAGGTTGTGGTTGTTGTTCCAGTGGCTGTTGTAGTTGTGGATCTCGTGGTTGTAGTGGGGAAGGATTCTGCTGCTCGCCCCAGGGTACGTCTTGAGGTAGTGGTTGCGTTTGTGTCGGAAGTGCTGGTGGTGGTTGAGCAGGAAGAAGGTGTGTCGCGGCGTTGGCGGGGTGGCCCCCGAGCTCCTCGATGGTGATGTATCCGTCTTCGTGCCATGGGTCGTACTCCGCAACATAGGGTGGAGGGATGCCCCTAGCAAAGCCATGGCGTATTCCAGGTCGAGCTTGATGTGGAGGATCTCCTTGGTGTAGTGTCTGTGGTGGTACAGTCGGCGGCAGGTCCTTCTGGAAAGTGTCCGGGCTCTCAAGCACCAGGTCGGGCGCCATTGGAGCCGATGGGTTCACCGTCCCGTAGTGCGATGAGGTAGTCGGGGAGGCAGCTTGGTCATGTTCTGATTGTGGAAGGCGGTCACGAAGAGCAGGATCAGGTAGTAGGTCTCGTTGTTCTGGCTCGTGTTGGTGTCCGCCATGTTCTGTTCCTGGTCGTGGCTGGGCAGGATCATGTAATGGGGCTCGAGGGGCGCGATGTCGTAGAGCAGGACCCAGGGTCGCCATCGAGGGGTTCCAGGGAGTCATGGAGGATGAAGTAGCCCAAGAGCTCGGTCGCTGAACAGGGGTGACGTCTCTTTGTGGTGTTCCTCGTGGTGGTCGTTTTCCATGCGCCGGGGCTGGCTCATCAAGTGCTGGCGCGTCTCCATGACGCAGGACGGGCAGGTTAACCACAGTTCTCTGCTCTGGTTGCTGGAGGTCAGGGGCTGTCGGGGCAGTATCCCCGGGCCTCCAAGGTAACACAAGTAGGCTCGAGTTGCGAAAAGTTCCACAGCAGCACAGAGTTCATCAGGCACCCCGCTGAAGATATGAGGACTGTCAGCGGCTCTCAGTGCATGCATGGCTGACGCACAGTTGTTGCATGTGACAGGCTGACAGGCATGATCTAAGACACTAGAAGCACTGTCGCAAAGGCACAGTCACTGGTGGTAGAACGAGCAAAGCGACGACGGAGACGGCCCATTTTTGCTTCGGGAGGCATAGCAAGGGCTCCCGGTTATGGCATGCAGGGGCCAGCGACTACAGAAAAATTGGCACGGCCAAACTTTCCTGCGGGCAGTCATTCGTCAAGCAGCGCAAGGTGGGGTCTGGCCGAAGTGACACGGCGGGCTCTCCCCGCGGCTGGCAGTAGAGGTGCTGTGGATCTCTTCTTAGCTTTGGCAGGCTTTTTTGCGTTTGGCGCAAGGTTGGGTGCGCCTGGAAGCACAAGCTGATTCCCCGATGCCCACGGGGGGTCATTATGCTGCAGAAACACATCCCGTAAAAGCTGCCACATTGCACGGTCCGCGTCTGTGATCCACCGTTGTCGCCCTGCTGTTTCGAAAATCTTTCTTTCAGGATCGCGGTGCGGATTGTGGTGCCCAATGTGCCTTACACCTTTAGGGTAGGGACCGGGAAGGAGATTTTGCTGGTCCCTCCACCAGGTGAGATCTCGCCATCTCAGGATATGAAAGGTGGGTTGAAAGGGGGCTCTTGCAATGTGGCCCCAAAGGTTCCACTGCATCGTGAGCGCATGAGACGACCATCTGACAATCTTAAGTTTATGCATAAGGGCTCTCGCCCTGCGCATGGTGCGAATGTGCCATTCTCCGTAGGGGTCCTCTCCCCTCCCACAATATGCAGCGTATCTGCATTAAAGCTGTGTGCTGTTTGCTGCTTGGTAGAGGGAGGACTGGATGGGCCAAGCGGGGCAACCCCAAAGGCCAGCTTCTCTGACTAGAGTCTGGTGCAGTTTCAGGCGGTCCTGAAGCGGGGCACGGGAGCACAACACCTTTTTATGAGCCTGGAAGGCGTGCCTAGACCTGGCTTGCATTTCGGCAACAATCGGGGCAAGGTCCCCGGTCATGCTGATTGGAGCACCTAGGATCGTCATGATAGCCTCCGGGCCATCAGTCACAACCTGAACACCCCCAATCTTAAACCGAAAGGGATCATCTGGCCGATTGGAAATGACCTGGGACTTTTTGGCATTGATTTTCAGGCCAATTCGCAGGAGCCTTTTTTCCAGCTCGTGAAGCACCTGCTGGACATACTCTGGGGACTCACCCCAAACGTAGGTGTCGTCCATAAAGGCGGCTCCTGAGTGTGGAGGCGGTGAAAGAGCCTCCTGACGGCCTACGTGCGGAGGAAATCCTCCGTTGACCGCTTGCAAGGTAGCGTCAAGCGTCTCCCCTATCTGGGCAGCAAAAAGCACTGGACTATCAGGGCTGCCTTGTCTGACGCCGTTGGATTGCTCCACCGGCACGCAGTGTTTCTGCACCTGGAAATGCAATTCTCTGGCTTCTAAAAGAGAAAACCACAAGCGTGCTTCCCAAGCCATGTTGCCGTTCTTGGCTATTTTGCGCATGACCAGATCGGCTAATTTTTCCTGGGCTGTCGAAAGCCTTGGCAATGTAAATTTTGGCTATGTAGAATGGAGTGTTCCATTCATGCGCGACTCGGGCTAACTTACGTAGGGAAGGAACCAGTTCTACTCCCTGTTTTTAATTTTGTTCTCCCACTGGTGTTGGCAGCATTCCTGCAGGAGGGGGCTACCCCTAAGGAGCAAAAGTTGCTAGATCCACTTTAGTATGGCACTAGATCAAGTGATGGGCCTTGTATCGGACCAGGAGGCTGGTCTGGCAGTTTTCGGGAGTAACACCGAGGCCCCGGTCATGACCCAAGGGGATATCTCCCCTTTATAGAGCCCATCATTTATCAACTCGGCCAATTTGGGTCTCCACACGTCGTGCTCAAAAAGCAGCTTGAGCGCTTCGAGTGTAATGCCATCAGGTCCTGTAGGTTTGTGGTTTTCCACTTCCCCATAGTAAGTCGCATTTCTTGCTCCGTGAAGGGCCTCCACGGTGTGTGTTTGCACATGCGGGTGGCTTCCTCCCGGAGAAGCTGCATCGCAGAACGCGTGGTGACGGCAGACTGCTTGTGGAAAATTGACTCTCTCTCTCTCTCGCTCTCTCTCTCTCTCTCTCTCTCTCTCTCTCTCTCTCTCTCTCTCTCTCTCTCTCTCTCTCTCTCTCTCTCTCTCTCTCTCTCTCTCTCTCTCTCTCTCTCTCGCTCTCTCTCTCTCGGGCATAGGGACCGGTCAGGGCCCCCGGGCATCTTGCCCACCCGAAGTGTTTTCAGGTTTCAGGGGCGTGAAAAACGAGTGTATCCCATCTCAAGACTTCTCTCTCTCTCTCTCTCTCTCTCTCTCTCTCTCTCTCTCTCTCTCTCTCTCTCTGTCCTACACCTACACCTTCCAACACACACGTCACACTCACACACTTGCATGGATCTCGTGATCCAGATGGCAGTCGGGCTCTTCGACTCATTCTTTTTGCTCTGATCATTCTAGTCCTAGTTATGTCTAGATGTTATTGCTGCTGCTTTGAGCTGTCTTGATTTTACTGGTCTCCAGGCCCATCCAACAACTTGCTGCACTTGCAATCAGACAGCACATGACAAATACGAGCTTCAAGAACCTGCAACAGCTGTAAATTGCACGACCTTGAATGACCTTGAGATTGCAAGCTGCGACTAACCATCGCCCATGCCAATCTCATATGCAGGTACAGGAATGCACGTCTACAATCCCTTCCACCTGTGCTCAATTGCTTCGTTGGCACGGCTAAGAGCACAAGCGCCATGCCCCCTGCTGTGACAATAGCACATTCTGTAGAACCTAGCCCTTAGTTTCAGGGATGACACACACACACACACACACACACCCTTTCCAAGGAAAGGGGGGAAGTCCTGCAGTCACTCAAGCACATGACAATGCACCATAACGCAGTGAGATGTTTTATACTCAGCTTTGCAGACATCTTCACTCCCACTGGTCAGGTGCTGTACGAACAAACCTAACTCGCGACAGCGTGCTCAGAACTGTGATCGGCTGAGTGTACTCGACATGACGACCATCTTGATGTAGTTGAAATGACGAAATGCGGGGGTTGCGACCAAGCACTGCATACATCTTGTCGATCAAGGCCCACTTCACCGAGTCAATGGTGAAGGACGCATCACATTCCAGGTCAAACGTTATTTCCCGAAAAGCTGTAATCGGATCTGGTGGAACGACGATGTTAACGCGCACCCTCTGTGGCATCACTGATATAGCGGCTTCATCAGCAGTCCTCTTCATGATGTTGAGATACTACCTTCCCGCGAGCCTTTACTGCAGCAACAACTCTTCCAACAATGAGTGACCTTTGTTTCAAGAATGGCACACTCATGCACTCATCTCTTTCAAGAAAACAGCAGCAACACACTTTTCATCTCTTCTTCAGCACATGTTGCACTGGTTTGAGCATGGAAGAAAAACGCTTCTTGGGACCATGCTTTTCCATGACAAGACGGTCTCCATGCTTCTTCAAAAATTCAAGCATCAATTGAGCTCGATTCGGCATGAAGAAATCGTCGCCTAGAACGCTGGTTTGTTGCATCCTCCGACGAAACTGTGCTCTAGGAGAGGGTAGGACCTTAATCCTCACCCCGTCTTCACCTTCATCCATCATACGTAGCTTACGTCTGGGCTTGATAGATGGCTTTGCCTTCGGCTGCTGGATGAGCAGGCTTTCGTCGCTGCTCTCATCTGACGTTGCGCCTTCTGCAAGGGTTGGTTGCGGAATCCCGTAAAGGATCAAGATCAGAATCGGAGCATATTACAGCAGAAGCTGGTAGTGGGTCATGCCGAGGCGCAAGAAGCAGAAGCGAATCAGAACTGCAGTCCGAAAGGGAAGTGTCTGATATGCCACTGTCATCATCATCAAAACTGGAGCAGGACATGGTCAACTTGCTGAGGCTCGGGCGAAACAACTGCTCACGGTCTAAACGAACATGTATGCAACATTTATGGCACAGACATGAACATGGCTCAGACAACACGCAAGCCAATGGCGAAACGTTGTTCGCTTCTTTTTCACGGAAAGAGAAACTCTCACCTTACAAGAGGGTCAACAATACGACAGAGGTTAATGAATGTCGTCAATAAGCCATGATCCCAGCCGAAAACGATCTTGACTTGGACGATGGAGCCACTCCACTGTGTCATGACGAATCTGTGCAAGTCGCCAAAGCTGTTGCACGGTGGTGAACATACTGCCTCCAACTAAGCGTACAATGGATTGGTGCCAACTTCCACACACGCAAGCAAAGCAGACAAGGTGAGGAAGTGCCGATGCTTCGTAAGTAAGAGGGGCATATGCGGTGGGACCTTGAATAAAGTACGGGTGGATCGTCGCTGGGAAGTTGATTCCTTCCAGTTGATATCCATTCAAGCTCATAGGCCATGTCATTGCCATGACGTCGTAACATTGTCTCAATGGGTTTCATGAGGTATCCCTTATGGATACGAATAGAAGAAAAGTAAGTGCCGGCGAGTACTGACGAAAGACAGCGCGCGATCATGAATCACTGACAAGTCTCCCATGGCTGTAGAATGCTTTAGAGCTTCTACCGTAACAGAAGTGAACCAACACTGCCATCCAAGATGCATAGCTGAGCTCCCTGCCGACCAAGGTGCAACTAAGCTCCACACTGGACGCTCAACCGAAACACTTGCACAACGTTTACACTCGGCTCTACAACTTGCCTGTTTTTTTGCAGGGTCAACAGTATGGCTGAGTGTCCGGAATTGTCATCGGCGGATCTTGTTGTTGGGTCTGCCCTTTCAGGGTGTTAAGGTCATGCAAAAGATGACAAAGCATTTCATGAACGGCTTTTTGCTTGCATCAGTAACTTCTGAAAGCCTCTGGTCCACATCTCTCAATTGAACTTGAACAGAATCAAGCTGCAGTTGCTGAAGTGTGCGGACCGATTGTTCTTCTTCTTTTGCCGCACGAAGTTCATTGCAACGGTGCTAGCGGATCGAAAGCGGAATTGAGGTTTGGCTGCGACATTGCAAGGCAAGCACACTGCGAACCAACGCTGCAGGCTAAGGTGCATAGTTGAGCTTCCATGCTGACCAAGGTGCAGCTAAGCGCCAAACTGCACGTTCAACCAAAAACACTTGCACAGCGCTCGCTCTGACCCTTGCAAAACACTTGCGCAACACTTGCATAGCACTCTGCACCTTAGCTCATTTTCTTTCTTTCATCATGCCATCCTGATTTGCGAACGTCTACTCACATTAGCCAGACCTGAATCGACTTCTAGATCGGTTTGACCGTGGCGAAAAAAGACGAACCAGTAGCTGTAGTCGAAGGATCTGTGCTGCATCGGGCAACTGAAAAGATGGTGGGGCGAGCCTTAGGCATGGGTTTAGTTGGTGGTGGGATTGGGGGCGATGGCGGAAAGGAAGGTGCTGATCCTTAAGGTGCCGGCAAAGCCAAAAAGGCTAGGGTGGAGGAGGGGGTTGAGGGGGAGGGGATGAAGTCGACGTTGATATGGGTGTGGGAGGGTTTGATGGAGGTGGATAAGGCGGTGGCGGCATGGGGGAGGGGTCTCTGAGCTTCCTGAACTTCCGGAGCTGCGAGAATCATTGGAACTGCGAACGACTTGGTCAGCTTCAATCTCCAATGTAATGAGACGATCTGACTCATCCTGAATCCTGAATCAATTTCTTCAGTCGACCAACAAGAACTCCTCGCAGAAATGGATGGGTGATATGATGGAGAAAAGAAAGGCTTTGAGCATGACCAAGATGATCCAAAACGTGCGTCAAATCTGCATCCACCTTGACCGGCATGGCAGGCTACTCGGCAAGAACAGAACTCTCACAAGTAAACACTGGGCCAAGGTCTGAGTACATTCACTGGCAAGACTACAACACCCCAAACAGCATGACTCAAAACTTGTGGCAAACTGGACGTTTTTTACAATGGCCACACATCAAAAGTATCTCTGGCACTACCAAGAGAGCAGGGGATCCAAGATGGTGGAATGTATTGACATCCAGGACGTTCATTCTGTTGTTCAAGTCTCTTTCAGTTGGGGTATTTTCGAAGCACGTGGAGCAAGGTGGAAGCAACATGATGGTACGTGCATTGGCAATCAAATCTCTCCTGTTCTCAGTTCGCTTCCAGTGTTAGATTCATCGTTGCATCGTCGGAAAATGCTGAGTCGTTGCCTTTTCGCACACTGGTGTCGCCACTTTTCTATGGATCACCAATCGAATTAGAAGACGCTGGTGACGATCACTTTTTGGGATTGCGAGGTCTAATTCACCAAAGACAAGTCCACTTCTTGCCTTTGACTCATCATTGGCAAGTACGGCATCCGAGATCTGCAGGATCTGAGACACATTTGCTGTCGGGGCTCAAGTCTAGAATTTGTACCATTCGTCGTTATGTGTGGCCAGCTTCCTTGAGAGCAGGACAGGTCAATCATCTCAAAGAGTTTCACATTCGCTTAGGCTATCCCCCCTGACGAAAAGCAGGACTGATATTAACCATAGTACGAAAAGACTACGACCTTGGTGACCGAAACAGCAACATGTCCACGCTTTCAGCTATCCGAACTTGGGGAACACTGTTGAAGAATCCAACCAAGTCATCATTAGTCAAAGTCAGAGAAACATGCTGCGGTGTACTTGCAAGAAGCTGGTGTAGCCGTGTAGCCTGCTCCATATCAACGGCAACGGCAGGGAACCAAAGTGTGATGGAAAACATGTATGAATCATCTGCTCAATGGCGGAGGCTGTACCACGCTGAAGTCGTTCAGTACTAGTCGAATTGCAAGCAATAACGCTGCATCCTTGTCGGAATTGCTTCATGTCTTTGAGGACCACAAAACCTTATGGTAGTCGGGCATTGGCATTGATGCCCCAAGCATATTTACGGCGAATCACTCCCGGAATGGAAGCATGAATCTGAATCTTGCATCTTGAAGTGGTAGCCTGAACTTGAGTAAAGTTGGTTGTATCCTGCCACACTTTAAGAACAGACATGACGTAGAACTGCGGGCAGAATACCATGAGATGCGTGGGGTGATCAGCCAAGTGGAAGACCAGATACTTCTGAAGATGCTTAAGGGTTTTGCAAAACTTCTTCTGTTGTAGAAACGTCGGATCATCATGATGAACTGCAGCTGGAAAGCCTCCTGCTCGGAACCAAGCAATGATACGTTTGACATAAAGGTTCTTAAACATGTACCATTGTGGAAGGACTGTGGACTTGGAACTGTACTTGAAATAGGGCAGGATCTCCGATGTAACCGACAATAAAGAAGCGCTAGAAGCAATGCGTCCATCAACCACGTCAGGATTAGGATGGCTTCGAAGTACCTGATGGCATGAGCACGGTAACGATGATGTTGTGGGTAACGATGTAGCATCAATGTTTGTCATCTTGCTTGCACATTGCTTGAAGTTATACGCCAACTTCTGAATACTGGGCTGAGCAGCTTCTGAGACTCGAGAGGAAGGCAAACGCAACGGAATCAGCCAATGCTTGAATCTTTGTATCTGTTGACGTAGCCACTGCTGTGTATTGGTCGAAAATGAATGATTGATGAGCCAAGAACGGTAAAGCAAGCGTAGTACCTAAGGTTGCTCCAAGTTTGATGCGATTCTCCAAAGAGCATATACTTCGGAGTCAGTCATCTTCTGAGATCGAACATGTTTGCTGGCGTCGAAGCTCCTACAATCTGACTGGGCAAGGTGAAACAGGATGGAGAAGGCTTTTTCTTTTGTTACAAGTGACGGAGGTTGTAGTCCCAGACCAGCAGTACGACGATGCAGTCGTAGAAACAATCGTGTAATTCTGGGAGACGGTCTCCCGTTTGTTCTACGAAGCTTTGTGACTCTGTATCCGGCAGCTCGCTTAAGAAGGAAACGATGAACGAAAGGATGATTAAGTCGTGGTTGCCATAGGCTGATGAGAGCGTGCTCACGAATCCAAGCTGATTTGTAGTCGTCAAAGATGGCGACAACAATGATTGTGAAGCGATGGTAATTCCCTTTTGCTGCCAAAAAGCGGATTGCTGGTTCGACTTGAACAAATTGACCAGCTGATGTCTTCTTAAGTTTGGCCCTTCTGTTATGTTCCCTTGCCACCACTCCAATGGATGTACTGCCCACGTAGCTCCAAACACTTTGCTGAGACGAGGTAGATCTTGAAGCATTGTACCAATTGATAGGTAGCTTAACACAGACTGCGCAAGAATGACAAAAGTGAGAAAACGTGTAATCTTGCACGCGCACCC